TTTTACCTGCATCACATAACATCATCGCATGCATGCTATATTTTACACTGTTCATATTACTTGTATCTACCTCCTTCCGTTCTTCCTCTCCTTTCGCGTCAAAGCATTCGGGTCGGAACAGGTCTTCAGGCGTCTTGTTTCTTGCGGCTATCATTTACAATTGCTTTTTTTTTTTTTGGACAAAAAGGTATACCACATAGGGAGGGTCTGCATCGGCTTGGGGAGTTTAGGGTATCGGGTCTGCTTCCATGAATGAAAAAGGTGCTCTATTACGCTGCAGCAAATGCAACTCGTTCCAGCACTTGAACCGCCATGACTATGAAGGAGAATCCGGCAGCCTCAGCATGGCCGGGGGCAGGTGCAGCGTCTTGAGTATGTCCTGCGACGAAACGCCCGAAAGCGCCAGCTCCCGCGTCGCGAGGTTCTGGTGGATAAAGTTGAAAGGGTTCGTCCACGGCAGCAGCGCCTCGAACATGGGGTCCAGGTCGTGCCGCGTGTGCCGCCGCGCCGTGCGGCCCCACGTCTCCTTGACGCGGGAGCTGACCCGGAAGTGACGCGGGTGGTCCTCGTCGTCCTCGCCCATGCGCGCGTCGGCGGCGCCAAGGGCCATGGCCGCTGCCGTCACTGCCGTCACTAGCTCCTCGTGTATCATGGCGGCGGTAGAGCTAGCCGCTCCCACCGTAGTGGGCGCCGTGGCCGTCGCGGCGCTGTTGCCGCCGCCGGCAACCACCGTCGTCACGCTGCCCGGGGCCGCCGGCGCGTTGGCCGTCGCCTCCATGGGCGCCCAGGCGCTCTGCCATGAGATGGACGTGCCCGTGTCTGTCACCTGATAGCGAAAAACGACGCCGCCGCGCGCGTCAGTGCAGTAGAGCTCCATGACGCGCAGGTTGGGCATGCGACCGGCAGCGCGGCCTGCGGCCTGCAGCAGCTCGTTGACCGCGTCAATGCCGCCGTCGACCGGGGTGGGGTTGAGGAGCGTGGGCGATGTCAGCGTCAGCCACCGCAGGTTAGGCCACGACGGCAGCGCCGACTGGCCCGCCTCGGACTTGGCGTAAAAGGGCTCGAAAAAGTCGACGGCGTCGATCAGCCCCGACACGGCCAGCTCCTCGAGGCCCTGGCTGGGTCGGATGAAGAGCAGGCCCAGTCCCAGGTGCGGAGTGATGTAGTCCATGGGCTCGTCGTCGCCCGCCGTCGCGTCCTGGGGCGGCGCTGCCCCGCTCGCGTCCGCCACGCCCCCAGTGCTGGGAGCCGCATTCGCAGCGCCGCTGGCGCCGCCGACTACTGCTGCTGCTGCTGCCGCCGCCGCCGCCCCAAAGCTCGCCGCGAGGTGCTCTTGAACCGACTGCGAAGGCGTAGGGCCACCGAAAATGGCCGTCAGAATGGAGCCTGGCAGGCTGGCGGGCGGCAGGGGAGGAGACGCGGCCTCGGGGTCAAAGGGAGAATGGACAACCCAGTCAGAGGGCGCACTGTTCTCGGCGCCCGAGTTCCCAGGGCTGCTCTCAGTGCCCTGCGTATCCGGCTCGTCGCTGACCGGGCTGTTGTCGTCCTCCCAGGCGTCTTCGTCTTCGTTGGCCGTCTCCCAGCCGTCCTCGTCGGCACTACCAGCGTCCCAGCCGTCCGGGCCGTCGACTCCGCTGCCATTGGGCGGGTGGCCGGGGTGATGGTGGTAATGGTGATGGTGGTGTCCGTGGTCGTGATCATGATCGTGGTCGTGGTCGTGCTGGTGGCCATCGCCCTCCCACCAGCCGTCGTCCCAACCGTCAAAGTCGAGATACTGGCCGGGGAAGTGGCGGCGGAAGTCCCTGCAATGCTCAAAGATGCTGACACGCTTGACCGTGGGCGGCCAGTGGCGGAGAGCCCTACCAAACGCTGCTCGCCCGAGTTAGCGGGAGGAGGGGGGGGGGGGGGGACTCGTAGAGTGTTGGACTTGTCTAAACGCACCTTCGTCGGCGTCGGCCTGAGAGTCCTCGTTGAGGAAATACCACGGCTCGTACCTCACCTCGCGCAGCCTCGGCAGGCTGTCAAAGATGGTGAGCAGGGCGGCGGGGGCAAAGTAGCGGCGGGTGCGGCGCAGGATGGAGAACTTGGAGATGATATCGACCTCGGGCAGGGGCGAGGGGTAGGCGAAGCTGCGGTTGGCGTCGACCCAGCAGAAGTCGAGCTCGCCGATGGTGTAGTCCTTGTTCTCGACGATGCCCGGGTCGCCGAAGCGGTACCTTGGATCCGACGGCGAGTTGGCGCCCAGCTCGAACTGCAGCTCGGGCCACGTTTGGGAGGATCCTCTGGACCACTGGCCGAGCGTGCTGAAAAGGTCGTAGACGGCCGTGGTGAAGAGGGCATTGTTGGTCTCCTCCTCCTCGCGCGTCGTCTGCTCCGTGTAGCGGCGGCGCTTGCGGGCTAGCTCGACACGCAGCCAGAGGTGGCGCAGCATGCGGCGGCGGCTGCCGCGCATGACGTTGTCGAACTCGGCCAGGTGTTTGGGCTGCAGCTCGAGGGAGGAGAAGACGAAGGGCTCCAGGGTCTCCTGCCACTCGCGGCAGACGGTAACGAATCGGGCCAGGCGAGGCTTGCGACGTCGGTCTCGCGACGGCTGCTTGTCGCCGAGACTGACCAGCGCCTCGAGCACCATCTGGCGCATCTCGCGGGGGAGCGAGTTCCAGGACGCCATGGCTGTGGGCTTGAGGTGTGATGCAGAAAGGTAAGCAAAGAAGTAGTACGTGGTTGGAGCCAAACCTTGACCTTAAAACAGTAGCTGCAGCAGAAGAAGCTGCAGCAGAAAGTAAAAATAAAGTCGAAACTTCCAATCAATTGGGATTGCCGCGGGGCTGGCCAGCCTGGCTGCGCACTGACTGACGTCCCCCACCCACGTGACTCAACTGACAGCTGCAAGTCACTTTATCAAGATGGAGCATTGCAACACATTGCAACCCAATTACAAGGGACAAAACATTGGTATCGAATAGAAACAAAACTCAAAAGCTAACACTCCCTCGCCACACACGGCCCAGGCCCAGGCTGTGAAAACAACCCTAGCATCCCAAACAGCCCCCCAGGACACAGCCCATTGACAGCCGAACCAACCGCCCAGAGCCCGCCCAGCAGCGGCCCAGCCGGCGCCGCCAATCGCTCCTCCTCCTTTTCCACCAGCGCCGCCACCTCGCCATCCGTCGGCCTCACCTCGGCGCACCAGCCCTCGCTATCGCCGCGCACCCCGCGCACCACTCCCAGCAAGTGCTGCGCGACCCCCATCAGGCCCGTCGCATCCGCGTCCGGGAGCGCGGCGCCGTCGACTCTCCGCACCGGTACGACGCTGTCGTCGCCCACCGCAACCGCCTCGGCCAGCAAAGGGAGTGCCAATGCTAGTTCGGCGGCGGGGCAGCGCTCCACGCGGAAGCCGCCCCGCTCGGCCAGGCGCGCGAGTGCGCTCGCAACGGGGTGGGCAGCCGCCGACTCGGCCATGACCAGCGTGTTGTCCGGGCGCAGACCAAGGAGCTCGTGGGCGGGGCGGTCGTCCGAGTAAGGGGCGGCGGCGGCGGCGGCGGCCTCGCAGAGCTGCAGCCTGACGACGCCGTCGCTCTCGGACAGCAAGGCGTCCTGGGGTGCGGCATCGAAGCTGTGCACGGCCGGTTGCAAGTGGACCGAAAGCACCGCGTCCTCGGCCGAGGCGCCGGCGAGGACGGCGCGGATGGACAGCATGCCCTCGGACTCGGCGGGCGGCACGAACTCGGCGTTGGCGGCCACGGCGCGGCGGACGCACTCGGTGAACAGCCCCAGCGGCGGTGGTGGAAGGCCTGTCGAGGCCGCGGCGGACTGGGCCATGCGGGCGGCGTGGAAGTCGGGGCGGAAGACGACGAGCTTGTCACCCCAGGGCGTAACGTGGCGGAGCGCCACCATGGTCTCGCTGCAGTGCTGGCCGGCGGTGGCGGCCGTGTTGCCGCTGCTCACCAGCCTGGGCTCGGCCCACTGGCCCCTGGACGTATCATATCGTGCTTCGATATGGCCGTCGACCTCGACGTGTCGGGTGCTGTTGTGCGAGTCCCAGTCGACCTGGGCCGACGGCGGCGGGGGAAACATGTTGGGAAACATGACGTGGGTTGACTGCCTGCGTCCGTGTTGGGGTATAAGAAATGAAGAAAATATTGCTGCAAGAATGGAATACTGACAAAAAAGAAATCAACAGTAAACACAGGACATATGAAAAATAGGATGGACTAATGATGGAACGAAACAGAAAGGCAAAAGGCAAAAGACAAAAGCAGCAGCACATCCGCTGCCTATGTACTGGCCCCGAATCAGGGGTTCTGTCTGCAACGCCGCCCACGTCGAGGCTGTGGACCGGCCTGAAACAGTAAGCGATGCCGGTGCTGGGGTTGTAGTGGACACAGGCCCGTGACGGCTGTCCACAGGCCCACCTTGGGCTATTTCTGCCCCTGAAGCGGCATTTGGACGCCCAAATATGGAGATTCATGTTGATTTGATCAGGGCAGTGCTCAGTGCTGTCTGCTTATTGGATTCCCGGTGACACGCTCGGTACCTCCCTCGCCATGTAGTATTTCGGTTGATGTCAACCTTGTTTTTATTGAGCTTTCTCTGGAAACCGGTACATGGATAAAAATATTTTTTGCTGGTGTTTAGTCTTGCTGGAATCTACACTGGGGAAATCGCACAGCTTGTCAGAACGAGCCGTGTCGTGGTCGTTGCTTGGATCCTGCGAGTTGGAAAGTCAGCACAGCTTCCGGGGACTATGTACTTACATGGCCTGACACTGCAGTCGCTGCATTTTTCCTATCACAAAATTGTCGGCAAGTTAGCAAGATCTGTCACGCTCCCATTTTTTCACCAAAGGGAAAGGGGGTCTACTCACCGGGGGCGCCACCCCTGGCTTTGCATTGGACGCTTCCTGCTTTGCAATTGTGTCAGTCAACCGGGGCAGAAACGAGGACCTGGACAAAGGAAAGATTAGTAGAACGAAAGGCCTAGAAAATTCTCGGGGCGCTATAGCTATGTCGTTGCTTTGTTAGTTCTTATCGAATGTTAGCGCTATATGTGCCCTATGAAGATTTGTCAGTGTGTAAACAGCTTATCCGGCGAGTAAATGTCGATGTGGGTGATCCTAAACGTATTGTTAGCTGGGACATGATGCGGGAACCTAGAGTGTTAGTTGGGCCGAGTTATCGAGGCTTCTAGACCTAAAGGAAAGAAATCTGTGCAAGTCAGTGCTTTTGGGATACGGGGACGCCCTCGATGGTGTTAGCGAACGAGAAAGGGATGTTAGGTGTTAGTATCAGCTCGGGGCGGGTCGAGCTCGCAAGATGCGTCATGACGAGAGGTTCGCGGGGTTCCTAGAATGTTAGCAGTAAATACGGGGAGGTGTCCTGGAATGTTAGCAGTAAGTACGAAAAGGGTTCCTAAAATGTTAGCTGTAGATACGGGAATGTGTCCTAAATTTCAGCAGTAAACACGGGGATATAAGCAGAAAGGGAGGGAATGGGCCGCACGCCGGGCAGAAGGGATCCTAGAAAGTCTTGTTAGCGAATATCCTCGACCCTACCGCGCTTGTGTCAAGCTTGGCTGTCCGGCTGCTTCGATGCTCGGTCGTGTTCGGCGCCCGGCAGTCGACGGTAGATGGTGTCTCGTTCTCGGGGCACTCCGGATGGTAGATGGTGTCCTAGATTTGTTAGCATTGCCAGCCGTGTAGAATGTCGCCCCTGGATCCCGGCTCGGTTCGGTTAATAGGTGAAAGTGCCCAAGGGTCCGAGGTTCTGCGTTTGTTCGTGTCGTCATCGCCTCGGTTCTTCGTGCTCGCGCATATCTTGGCTTCCTTGTGGGCAGCTTCCCATGCCCGTGGTCGAGACGCTTCGAACCTAGCTATGAATGTGTCAGTAGGTCATGCGTGCCGTTAGTATAAATGCCCTTGCTGTGCTTGTCAGCATCTGTACAGGTAACTCCTTTAGGGATTAGTAGCTAGATATCTAGGTAGAAAACGTTAGCAGCCAGACGAAAAGTATCCCTAGAATCTCGTTTCCCTAAACTCGGTTAGTTTGTCAGTTTCCGGCTATTGCCTGCCAAGTAAAATTCGAAAGGGATGGGGCACTGCTTTTGTTGGTCAGCTTTTCTCGTAGTAAAACATGAGCCGTCCCTGCTTTCAATACTGACATGTTCTCGGGGTTAGTTTAGCCTTGTACCGAAGGGGATGGGATACTCACCGGTTAGTAGAAGCTTGTCGACAACCTGTGAATTTAGGTAGGCGGCGATGGGGTTTGGATTTGAGTCATCTAAAACCTGTGACTTGGTGGCCTGTGGCCGTCAGTATATCTGCGAGGAGGGAAGGAGGGGAGGTGTAAGAGGATAAAGGAAGGGCTGGGAGATGCGGGTTCTAATGCAACGGCCAAGATTAGGCGTGTAGAAGGAAGGAAAAGAAATAGGCAGATGCATGAGGCTTTGTAGTGATGGGGTGGGATGTATCTACATGTGTTAGTAAAAGAGGAGGTGTTAGTGACGTGGAGGAGTGGAGAGTAGTAAGTGGAGGGTGCTGGATGTGGGCTTGGGGGATAGGAAAATTGAGGCACAAGTATTGAGGTAAAGAACAATGGCTCGGGGGATGGAAGAAAGAAAGGGTGGTGCAATAAGGGCTGGTGGGTGTGTCCTAGGGCCTTTGTGGTGGGGTGAATCTATGAGGAAGCTGTCTGTGGTTAGAGGTAAGGGATAGGCGGCCGGTTGGTATCTTGTCTGTGGCGCTGGAGCAGGTATCGGTCCCTGGAAGAAAAGAGCTGTCAGTGGCAGTTTACCGGAGGGCGGGGAGGGGAAAGGCAGGGGGAAGGATGGGAGAAGGGGAGATGTTGATAAGTTCGCATGTTTGATGTTGGCCGGATCCAGAGCGGGAAGAAGGTTGAGAAGTGTGGATGGGATGGTTCCAGAAAGTTGGTTGCACACCATCACCGACATTAGTGTCTATATACAAATCTTTCCATCGGCGGCGGCCAGTAAGTCGAGTGCTGGTCCAGTCCCCCTTACTCTGGTGATGCATTTCGAGATTTCGAGCCTTACGGGCAACGGGTCGCGGGGATGCAGAAGCTTGGTGGTGGAGTGCCGGCACTCCACCGTGAATGCTGAATGCCCAGTAATCGATCCACTGGAGCAAACAGTCATGTCGAAGCCCAGGATTCCGGAAAAGCAGCAACATTCACCTTCAATCACCTATGCCTGCTGACTGGACGTCCAGCAGAGCCGCTGCGGGGAGATGGATGGACACCTAAAACGGCTCATAGTAAGACGTAAATAGGTGTGCATTGCTGCGCATCAAATGCCACGAGACCCGCCTGGTCGCTTTTGGTGCAGCCCTACGCAGCAGCGGCCAGACCCCACATGCCATGCAGTAAGCACAGCACTGTCACAGCACTGTCGACTGCGTGCATTCTCTATTCTCTCCATCCTGCAAGGCCGCTGCTATCTAAGCTTGGTGTGCATTTTACGAGTGCGCGGGAGACATCTGTCAATCTTGTCGTCAATCACAGCAGCCACGCTGCCTGGATAGGATTAAACGAAAAGTTACATAGATGGCGACAAGCACATATGCTCTCCATCAGGCCTGTCTTCCACCTCATCCAGAGATGGGCCCACGGCTGGTCGTTTTAAACCCAAAAACCAACATGGGGAGTTGCCCGCCCTATTAACGCCTTTAATGCCCCGTGACAGTGGATATAAAAGAAATGTAAATGTACAAGAAGAAGAAGGAATAGCTAGCAAATAAGCAAGAGCGAGAACCAGAGACCTATACCAGCGTCCAAAGGGCGCCCGCCACCAGCGGAAGCCACCCGAGGGTGCCGTACGCCGACCAGGCCAGCACGCTGCCACCCTGGGCGCCTGATGTCGCCGTCAAGTTGGTGGTCTTGGCGGGGGTGGCGTAGATGTCGGTGAAGCTGATGTCGCTGCTGTTGAAGCAGTTGCTCTCGTTGACCTTGCCCAGGCGCGGGTCGTCGGTTTCCACAAAGGTGATGTCGACACACTGCAAAAGAGGAAAAGGGTCAGTCAGCGGGCGCGCAACGGCAGCGCAGGGACAAGGAAAGACGCACCGAGTACAGAGCAGCACCGTGCAGGGCCAGCTCGACCACCTGGATGGTGGCGCTGTCGCCAGCCTTGACGTTGACGTTCTTGGGCAGCGGAACCTGGGGCAGGCAGATGGTGCCCGGGTAGGGGTTCTTGGACGGGCCGACGATGCCAAAGGGCGGGGCCATGGCGAGCGACATGTTGAGCGGCCCGCCGTCGGGGGCTTCGTTGCCGATGCCGAGGTTGACGTAGATGGTGGCCGAGTCGTGGCCCTGGAACCAGCCGGGCTGCAGCGCGACGGCACCGCCCTTGACGGACCAGTAAGTCCTGTTCTGCGTGAGGCGCGTGCCGCCGCACGGGTACATCCACTGCATTCCATAGGGGAAGGTCTCGTTGGTGATGAGGTTGTTGCCACGCCAGCCGGGGTAGGTGATGACGATGTGCGCCGCCGTGAGCGCCGCGCTGGCGAGGAAGATGAGTGTTGACGACAGCATGGTGGGTGGTTGTTTGTGGGCGCCTCTTGGTGTTCTGTCCTAGTGATAGTAAGGTGATGGGGCAGTGCAGTGCAGTACTGTGCTGTATGCCGGGATGGATGGCGACGGGGCTCCTTTATTACGGTCCTACGAACATCACAAAAGCAGAAGAGGGAGGGGCGTTGGGAACGATGGACGGCGGGCGCAACATTATCTATGTTGGCCACGGGAGCGGAGGCCCCCCCCCCTGTCCCCCTGTCGGCCGGCTCCCGTCGCTGTGGCTCACGGCCATGCAGTCATCAGAGAAGCAGGGCCGAAGAAAAAGAAAAAAAAAAGGCAGGATGCGACCTTTGGTGCGCGGCCAGGCGCCCTCGATATTGGCTGACCTCCACCCTTTCGCCCTCGCGCGCACGACGAGGCCAGTAGGGTGGGCGTGACGGGGGGCCACAGGGTGCCACGGCGTGCGTGCCGGACTCGCGGGCCCCTGTCGACGCTTGCAGGCACAGCCAATGGCAGGCCGCGACGCAGCCGCCCAACCCACGGCACCAGGCGCCGAGCTGCCACTACTGGTCCTGTCCGAATGCCCCGCCGGCCAATGGCTGATGGTGTTCTGGCCAGCCCCCTGTCGTCTTTCCGGGGAGGGTGACAGTGCTGCGTCCTCGCCGCCGTGGGATTCAGCCAAAGACGCGCATGCCGTCGACCCATCTGGGTCTGCTCGTCACCTTCGCTCGAGCCACAGCGGGCGGCAAGGATCTGCTGCTCGGCCGAGTTGCCGGAGACATGGCAGCATGGCAAGGCGGGACACTCTGATGGGTGATGGGTGATGGGTTTGGGGTGATGGGGGAGGTGGGAGGTGGGCACAATGGGATTGCTTCTCACACCAAACAGACGGGACAGACAGAACAGACAGGAAAAAGAGCGGGGAGGATAAGCGCCCGCCCATCTGTCATCCGCCCCACCCACACAGCCAATTAGCACCGTCTAGCCTGGGGGCTATTTTGAGCCATCGGTCTTCGGCCGTCAGCTTTTTCAGCGGTCGATCTCTACAGTGGGAAAGCACGACCGCGCCGTTGCAACGCTTGGAGGTGGTTGCACTGGCATCTTCTTTGGGCACAATTTAGCGAATTAATATCTACTCGCCCGTCGGCAGTCAACGACGCTTCCTTCCATGGTCGCTTTTCAATCCTTCGGAGTTCTTTGCCACTGGTGCTCTTCTGCCTTTTACGGTTGGTACTGTTTGACGTTAACTGCGTCGTCAGCCGGCCAGCACACAATGCATCGTCTGGCAGCCATTGGAGCAAAAGTCGTCCTCCTCATCGTCTCAGTCGTCTGACTGCCATCGCTCTAACCCGCCACTCAATCAACCAACAGCCTCGGCGCCCCTGACCACCTGCCACGACTGCACATTCTGCCGTCACCTGTTCCCCCCCCCCCC